CAGTCCAGTGATGATCCACAGCGGCACACCACACCTGATAACATGAGCAATGTTCATTTCAATCGTCTTCCCCTCATTAACTGTGCTGTAGTCCTGAAATGCAGGGACACGGCTGTGCTGTGCCTCAGTGAATTTTAATGGACAATGAAATTGAATGATACTATAAACAAATAATGTGTTTATGGAGAGGGAGAGGAGCTGTGTGCTGATGACCCGGGGGGCAGACTTGTAGTATATACCCTTTGGTTGGCTGATGGTGCATGGAGGGGATTGTAACCATGGCAATGAAACAATATACGATACGATGAAAGTAAAACTAATGTTCTCCCATGTAAACGATCACATAATTCATAATAAAACATTACAATAAATAAATAAATAATGTGTTTAGGCCATGAAGGAATAAAGGAGAAAGTTCTTCTTAACAGTCATGTAAGTAGAAGTTATTTAATCATAAAGAAAGCCCACTGCCATCAAGTCAATGCAGACTCACGTAGGGCTTTGGAGACTGTAAACCTTCATGGGAGCAGACAGCCTCATCATTCTCCCACGGAGTGGCTAGTGGGTTTGACCCACTGACCTTGTGGTTAATGGTCCAATGCTTATCCCACTGTGCCACCCGAGCTCCATAATAAAAAATAAGTGGTTTTCAAACTTGTATTTTCTCAGATAACAAAATGATTGTTGTTGTTTAAAGCCATCAAGTGTTGGTATGATGTGTTTCCTAGTCATGTAACTGGAACAGATTTGGTATTTGGAAGCAGGGTGCTACAGAAATAAAATTCAAGGCCAGCCTTTTCTCCTCTCAGAGCACTTGTCTCTTCCCTAGGCTCATGCATCGAGTCCTAACATGAGAAATGCATATTTTATTTTTGGGAGCAAAATTTTCTACCTTCCAATATGCTTCTGAGGTGTCCTGCTGGTGCACAGATTAACTACTCAGTTGTTAACTGAAAGCTTGTCAGTTCAAACCCACCAGAGGCCCTATGGGAGAAGGACCTGATGATCTGCTTTTGTAAAAGATCTCAGCTTAGAAAACCTATGGGGGCAGATCTACTCTGTCACATGGGGTCCCTATGAGTTGGCATTGACTCTACCTATGGCTCTCAACAGCAACAACATGCTTCTAGGTGTAGGGGGAGCACACAGCAAGTCTTCTCTCCCTGCAAAGCCCAGTGAGGAAGGTGAAGTGGATGGTTCCTAATGGAGGACTGCCCAGAGTGGCCACAAATCAGGCCTCTTGTTGCAACCAGCAGCCTGTGCCACTTAGCAAACGGCAAAATATGGAAGGGATTAAAAAAAAAAAAAAAAAAAAAAAAAACTTAATATACATGCTGTATAATCTACTAGACCTTGAATTTGCTGGGCTTGTTCATCCATGTTTTTATTTGGGTTTTTTTGTTTTGTTTTGTTTTTTTACCTACCCTTTACCTAAAATGACATCCTGTGACTTTGCTGGGGCAGACACAAGGTGATGTATCAGAACCACCTGCAGCTGTGAATGTCCTAGACCAAGGCAAGGCCACAGCCTGTCATGATCCTACCTCCTCATCTGCCTTTTCTGTCTTGTCTGTGTTCTCCGCCTCTCACAGCACCCATGGTGTCTGTTGGCTCTGTGAAGAAATCTCTTTATGTCTCCCCAAAATAAGCTCCATCATGTTATATTTTTAGTGGGCTTCAAACGTCTGTTCTGAAAAAGAAAAGGTAAAAGAGAATCAGAAACTGGAAACTTACACAGAGGGAGCTGAATGGGTGATGGAAATGGGGCAGGTATGGGGAGAAAGCAGGATCAGGCAATCTACCTCCTCCCCCTTTGAAAGCAAAGAACTGAGATTCTCACACCTACAAGCATACCAAAGCTCATGTAGCATCACCCTGTTTGGGGAAAGAAATCTGCCCCGGCTCAGTCCTTGTCTTTAGGAGAATGCCCAGAGAAGCCAAAAACTAGGAACACCAGCTACAGGCATCAGTCGGTACTGGGAGACTGGATCCCTGGATCTGCCAAACCCAAAGCTATGTTTCACTGGCCTCACCTGCAGGAAACTGTAAGAACATAGGTAAGCCATCCCACTCAGCCCAACAGCGGTCGAGGAGCATGCCAGCTATGCTGTAAACAGGAACTACTGAGTCTACCACCTGTCTTTTTTAGTCCAGGAGTCTTTACAGAATAGCCTCTGACTCTTTTACATCCTAACACCTGAATCTGTGTGTTCTGCTTTATAGTTCTTCCCATATGGTGATGCCTCCAAGTTTGCCCAGCATGCATTCCGAACCTTTGACAAGAACGGGGACGGCACCATCGACTTCCGAGAGTTCATCTGTGCCCTGTCCATCACCTCCAGGGGCAGCTTTGAGCAGAAGCTGAACTGGGCCTTCAACATGTATGACCTGGATGGTGATGGCAAGATCACCCGAGTGGAAATGCTGGAGATCATTGAGGTGAGGCGTGGTGGGCCCCTCACATAGCCAGGACCTGACAAATCCCAAACAGCAGTTTCCTTCGTGTCAGTGCTGGTTTCTTTGATTCCCTGGTATCTTAAGCTGGGTTTGCTGGAGAAATATAACTGTGAAACATATTTATATATAAACTATCAATATATATTATTGTTGTTAAATGCCGTTGAGTCAGTTCTGACTCATAGTGAACCTGTATATAGAATTTCTGAGGTTTTATATCTTTATGGAAACAGAAAGCCTCATCTTTCTCCACAATTTATATATGCTGTTGTTGTTGTTAAGTACCGTAGAGTCGGTTCCAACTCATAGTGACCCTGCACTGGGTTTCTGAGGCTGTAAATCTTTACAGGAACAGAACGCCTCATCTTTCTCCCGTGGAGCGGCTGATAGTTTCGAACTGCTGACCTCCTTGAGGTTCGCAGCCCAATTCGTAAGCACCATGCTACCAAAGCTCCTTCAATATATATATGTGTGTGTGTGTATGTGTGTGTGTGTGTGTGTATACTGACATCTGACCCACAGATATGGATATATGTATGTATGCATGTATATAGTGAGAGACAGATTTCTATTAAGGAAATGACTCACACATTTGTGGAGGCAGGGAAATACCAAGTCAGATGTCAGAAAGAAGACTGTTCCCGGACCCAGGTAGCTGCAGGAGCTGATGAATCTAAGGTGGGCAGGTAAGGTGGCAGGCTGCCGACAACTCCTAGAACCACCAGGCAATATGGCAGGCAGATAGCTCAAGTCCAAAGAACCATATGTAGAGTCAGATGTAGAAGATAGACCCAGCTAAAAGCAAGCAAGCTTTGCCCAAATATCCAATATATTGGTAGCAGGCCACATCCCCAAGGAAACTTTTAATTGATTGGCTTCTCATAGCAAATCTCATCAAGGAAGTGATTTTATTATACTAGGTTTCATCATAGGGCATTACTGTATCTTAATTGCCTAACCGCTGAGAATCTAGGCCCAGACATATTGATACAAATTCTTTACTATCACACCTGGTAGGAAACCTGCTAATTGCACACCAAATCCTGAATTTTCTCATCTCTGCCCCCCTCACTCCAGTACAGAACCAAGCTGTGACAATTGACAGTTGGCATTTAAATCAGCCTTTCACTCACAGTGAGATTTTTGGGGGTTCACAGGATATCAGGTTCTTGACTGAGCTTTACTCTGCTGCATATGTCATCCTCAGCTTCAAACTACTTTCCCCAGGTGGGCATAAAGTGCTGTGAGTAGCTCCCAGGTTCCCTGTTATGTCTCAGTCCATTCACAGAGACCAGACATCCTTTTCAGGTATTTTTGTAAGTATCTCAGCTCTGATTTTACCTTGTCCACACTCCTCATTGCATGGTACTCTTCAGATACTTGGATATTCTTGGATTTCCTCTAACACTCAGCCCTCTTTCCTCTATGCAGAAAGCTCTCCCCAACCCACTCCCTCACTTCTCTCAGGTCTGTGAGCACATCTTACCTCCCAGTGACACCATCCTTTCCTCATTCCCTATCTAAAATAGTGTCTAACAAGCTCTTGCTGAAATTTATTTATTGCTGCCCCAAATTACCTTATACATTAGAAAGAAAACTCTGTGTGAACTCTGCTTGCTCACTGCTGTATACTTTAGAGCCTAGAATAGTTTGTGGAACCTTATAGGAGTCGTGGTGTGGCGCTGTGGGCTAATGCGTCAAACTGCAAGTCATTTGAACTGTAAGGTCGGTGGTTCAAGCTCACAAGTTGCTCCTTGGAAACCCTATACAGGGTCGCTATGGGTTGCAATCAACTGGACGGCACTTAACAACAACAACATAGGCACTCAACAGCTGATGAACTAACAAGTCAATGATTGTCCTTGGGTGGAATATCTTAGGTGTGTGTAACCACCACTGCACCAACCACCATGACCTAAGAAGACAAATGAATAATCACTTTAGGCAAGAGTCAAGTGTTCCCTTCCCAGAGTTGGTGTTAATGTTCATCCAGACCACATGGACTCCAAATGAAAATTGGGGATGATTGCAAGAAATGGCAACCAAAGTCCAAGTAATCAAAAATCAAAGTGTTATCTATCACACTACACTCTCTTCTCCCCACTTTCACTTAGAGACACAGAGAGGGAGAGAGACAGAGGTTTCCCCTCTTCCTGTAACCTCCCCAATACAATGGAGTCCGTTCCATTCTGATCACTTCTGAAGCTTTTCTCTCGCGCTCATACACCTTCTCTAGTCTTTCCATCCTTTGACTTCTTCCCATCTGTTATCAACGTCCACTCCCCTCAAACATGCCTAAAAAGCTGGTATTTGAGTTCTCTATTTGTATTTGCTTCATTCAATTAACTGTATGCTTCCAATCAGGTTATGAGAAAAAACACAGTATAAAAACTGTACATATGGTTTACCGCGGCTATCATTTTCTCACCTTTCCCACTCATAAACCTTTGTCCATCATCCACACTCTACAGAACTCTTGTCAAGGTCTCTATGACTTTCCTACAAGACAGACTTTTCTAAGATTATTACTTTCCTTTTTGACTTTTTGCCATTTTTCCCCACCGATCATCAATCCTCCCCCAAACTCTCATTTTTAGTCCTAGGCAATGTTCTTCAACCAAAGCACACCAAAAACACATCTGCAGCTGAACACGTTGAATGTATTTCTCAGTACAGCGATTCAGTAGGAGGGTGGTGGTGTTGTTATTAAGTTCCATGGAGGCAGTTCCAAATCATAGCTACCCTGTATAGGGTTTGTGAGGAGTGACTAGTAAGTTTGAACTGCCGACCGTGTGGTTCAAACTGCCCTTGTGATCCTATGCTTATCCTACAGCATTGACACACCAGGACTCTGAACACTTATTAAAGGATTTGAACTTCAGTAGCGTAGTGGTTACAAATCGGGCTATGAGCCGCAAGGTCAGCAGTTCGAAACTACCAGCTGTTCCACGGGAGAAAGATGAGGCTTTCTGCTCCTGTAAGGATTTACAGCCTCGGAAACCCTGTTACAGAGTCGCTATGAATCGGAACCAACTCCACGGCACATAACAACAGGTTGATTTGGGAATCCCTGAGCAGTACAAATGGTGAACATGCTCTGCTTCTTACTAAAAGGTTGGAGGTTGATTCCTCCCAGAGGCACCAGAAGAAAGACCTGGTAATCTATTCTAAAACTCACTAATTGAATGTTCTACGGAACATAGTTCTACTCTGGCATACGTAGGGTTGCCATCAGTTGGAGGGTCACGGAAACAAGCATTTACTCTGGTTGGGTACTGTACAGAGTAGGAAGAATTCTATTATTGAATATCTCAGGAAAATCCCATCGAGAAGGGGGGCAGACTAGATTGAGGATAAAGCTCTAATTGGTAAATAGCAGAGCTGCCATTCATACTAGCAGGGAGAGCTGTTCAATATTTGTGGCTTAGAAAATGCTCAATGACAGAAGAGCTGTAAGAGCCAGCCCAGCCACAAAATCACCAGGTCCTAACAGACAGCACCAGGCCACTAGCTCCTGGTCACTAGGGTCTGCTTTTCTTTTTTGCATTCTTGATGGTAAACCTAGTTGTAGTGGTTACATATCAGACTGCTAATTTCAAGGTCAGCAGGTGGAAACTGCCAGCTGGTCCATGGGAGAAAGATGAGACTTTTTGCTACCATAAAGATTTATAGCCTCAGAAATTCTATGCAGGGTTGCTATGAGTTAGAACTGACCCCATGGCACACAACCTGTCACCATCACTTTTAGGTCCTTTTCCTTTCTCCTTTTATTTAAATAGAGGCCTCTTCATTGAAGTCTCTCCATTCTAACTGGTGGAACCTTGAATGATTTCCAACCCTGTGTGTGCTGGAAATTGTCAAGTATTTAAATCATTGAAAGCAAATAAGATGATCTAGGGAATAAATATAAATAGACATTTCCAGAGGACTGTACCTGGAATATTATAATGTTTAGAAGTCAAGAACCAATATATGAGACTGAGAAAAATAACTAGTAATATCGAAGTTAAAAAAATAAAAGGGAGAAAGAAACAAATACTAGTACTGAAAGGGAACCACAGAAAATGTTTCAAGGGAAAAGGAACGTGCAGTCCTGTCAAAGGCTATTGGTAGGGGGAAGTAACATTAGTTGTTGTTGTGATGTGCCGTGGAGTCGGTTCCGACACATAGCGACCCTGTATAGGGTTTCCAAGGCTGTAAATCTTTACGGGAGCAGAAAGCGTCATCTTTCTCCCGCGGAGCAGCTGGTAGTTTCAATCTGCTGATCTTACGGTTTGCAGCCTGATTCATAACCACTACACTACCACAGCTCCTTACATTAGTAGTAATAGTTGACAATTAGATTTGAAACCTGGAGGTCATTAGAACAAACCAAGAATAGTTCCAATGGAGTAAACCAGTTGCAGCTGAGTCAATTCTGCCTCAAGGCAATCACATGTATCAGAGTAGAATTGTGCTCTATATGGCTTTCAGTGGCTGATTTTTTGGAAGATCTTCTGGCCTTTCTTCCAAAATGCCTCTGGGTTGACTTGAACCACCAACCTTTTTGGTTAGCAACAAACCATTTGCAGTACTCAGGGACTCCTTTGCAGCCAAAAGGAATGGGAGTGAAGGAAGTGGAGGCTGTAAATATAGAAAACTCTTTCAAGGAGCTTTGCTTTAACAAGAAGAGAAACAGGGAAATTGTCCTACTATGGATACCCCAGGTAAACCATGAAACCTCCCCACTCTGGCGTACCTGGACTAGGATGTATTTCACCTGTGTGAGCTCTGGGACTTGGTCAGCTTATTGTTCAGAAAGCCCTCCATCGAGTTTCACCCAGTCATGCACAGATTCAAGCAGAGTCCGAAGCAGGTTTTAGGAGCTCTCTCTGTGTATCACTTCCCTCCGTTACTCTGCCCTGCCAACTCTAGCTAACTCAGCCTGCCCAAACTTAGATCGTTGTCTCCTCAAATCAGTGAGGTTTCTGTGCTCTGCTCTGTGCTGTGGTCAGGAAAGACCTCCAGCCTGAAAACTGAGGTGACCTTCTTTTGGGAGTCACAGTGCTGCATTACCAGTTGTGGAGTCTGAAAACAGTTGTTTTCATTTTTGTCTGCTGCAGCTGTGTGCCGTCGAGTTAGTTCCTACTTATAGCAACCATTTGTAGGATTTTCAAGTCTATGAATTTTTACAGGGGCAGAAAGCCTCATATTGCTCCTGCTGAGCAGCTGGTACATTCAAACTCCTGACCTGTGGTTAGCAGCCTAACACATAACATACTACATTACCAGGGATCCTCATCTAGTCTCTCGGTTTTCAGGGGGAAGGCAGGTCCTGTGTATCAATCAGTTCACCATGACTGGAGCAGGAGTAAGGAGAGTTTTCAGAATCATCCTCTAGTACTGCCACTTCCTGGCTGTGGGACTTTGAGTACCAAATAGTAAATATATATATATCTCAGATGGCAATGCAAGATGAACACTAACTGCTAACTTCAAGGTCAGTGTTTCAAACCCACCAGCTGCCCCTTGGAGGCCCTCTACAGGGTCGCTATGAATCTGAACCAACTCAACCTCAGTGGCATTTAATAATAATAACAACATCCCAGACAGCACCTAACAACAAAAACAACCCACAAGTCTGTGGTGATGATGAAATGATGTCATTTATATGTGTACACATCTTCTCATAGTAAGTGTATTATAAATGGTAGGTACTTCTCAGGGCTCTGTTCTCTAGTTTAGTTTTATTCACTCCAGACATTTTCCCTTAGAAATATCATTCACTCAACTCTCAGCTTCTCTCCAGCTAATCAGCCTGTCCCCAGGTCCTGTCCCCTTTCTCTTGTGTTCTTTCTGATGTAGTTTCCAGACCTCCATCTCCATTCTTTTCACCAGGTTCGGGCCCTTCTCACCTGAATCATTACGTATTTCCTGCCTCCAAGTTCTTCGCTGAGCCACCTTGTTCCTGGCCAACAGATCAATGTTCGTTAAGTGATTCTGTCATTGTTAACCTTGTGCGTAAAATCTTTCCATAGCTTCTCATTCATTCGATCAATACATCTTTACCGAGCAGTTATCATGTGTCAGGCACAGTCATGTGACCCAATTTACATCAGTTCTTCATCTCTCCTTTGCTCCCACCGTCAGTCCCTCCAGTGGCTCCTCACATCCATAATTGGGTGCTTGTGCTCATGCCATATCGGTCCCCTGAAATGTCCTTAATGACTCTGTACCCATCCAAAACCTTAAACCCTTCAAGGCCTAGGTTATCTTGCCTCATATTAGGAAGATTTCCTACTCATTCACCCCAGATAATCTCCACCCGCTTTAAACTCCTGTCCTGAACTATTGTCTAGGTAGCAGTCCCTGCCTGCAAAGTGGTGGTAGAGAAACTTGAAATGACAAGTGCATGCCCCAGAGGAGCTCATTGACCAGAAAGGGCAAGGTCCTGATGAGTAAACAAGAAGTGACAATACTGAGACTAGGTGAGAGGTTGTATGGCGGAGAGAACAGCGAAGGCCCAGGTAATGCCATTGAGGAAAATTATTCTGGAGAAGTGAGACCTGTGATGTCTCAAAGGATGAGCCGAATCTAGTCAGGCAAAGGGGCAAGGGACAGTATTTCAGACAGAGAGAGCCACAGGGATTTGTTTCTTCCCTTTGTGTGCCATTTTTTTCTATCTGCATCATTGACTCTGGAGGAACAAAAGTGTGTCTGACCTGAAGTGCTGAATACAGGCAAATGGGTCCTCAAATTCTAGTTTGAAAAAGAATACTTGAGACTTAATTACTTCATCTTAGGAAAGCATGTGGAATAAGCGATCCTATTTTGATACTTGCTTGGAGGACTCCGTAAGGCGTATGTGCCTAAAGGGATTTCTTAGATTCTTTGTGGGATATATTTACTTCTGAGCTTGGCATGCCCATGGCCTATGTTGGTGTTAAGTGTCATAGGCTGCATCTGGAACATTCTTTCTTGGTTGTCATATTCAAGGTCCAAATTACAGGGTTGCATCATTCTAGTACCGGTTGCTGTTGAGTCAGTTCTTACTCATGGAAACCCCATGAATGTCAGAGTAGAGCTGTGCTCCATAGGGTGTTTAATGACTGTTTTTTGTTTTGTTTTGGAAATTATCAGGCATTTTTTCTGAGGTACCTCTTTGTGAATGTAGCCACATTTGTTAACTGTTTGCACCATCCAGAGGCTTTGGATATAGTCAGTGAGACCCTGCTATTGTCTGATGGGTCTCATTTATTACTATGACTTTATAAATAGTGTGTTTGTATTACTGGCTATCTTTATATTCATTGTCTCGGCTAATCCCTATTAATTTTACAGGTTAAGGAACATGGTGAGAGGGACAGTTTACATGTAGAAGTTTGTCCCTTTGACTAAGTGCCAGGTATTATGTGCAGTTTTTGCTTTTCACGCCATATATCACTCTGATTACGAATCTGGACTACGTCTGTCAGGTGTCCACAAAATTAGAAATTTCAGTACTCTGCTACTTTTGAAGTGCTTGTTGGCTATCATCAAGATTTCAGACCCTGAGTGTTCAAAATGAAACTCATCATGTTCTCTGTAAACCTCTTCCTAATCCATTAGTCTTTATCTCACCACTAAACTCCTCTTTCTACCCACTTCCTCCAGCCAGAAACCTGGGAGGCATTCAAAATTCTTGTGTATCTAATTGGTCACAAGACGAAAATACATTTTAGCATATCATTATTTTATTTAAAATCATTTAAGGAGTCCTTCAAAATACATTTAAATCCTCTATCATGTCATAGGAGAATGATTGTTTAATTCTTGTGTCCCTTCCTCCATCTTCATCTCTCATCAACACTTTATGTTACCGTACCTCATCTTGCCTCCACCACCCACATACTTTGTTCTACCAAGTTCAATGAATATTTTTCATTCATCTGATATGTACTGAAGGCCTACTGTGGCCCGGGCATTGTGCCTGACCCTAGAGTTACAGGGGTGAGCAAAAGACACGTGATTTCTAACCCCATAAAACACACTCTCTGGTGGGGATAAGCCAATTCTAATAATGTACGAGATGTCTTCTAATGGTTGAGGTGTGGTGAGGTGCAGGACAGGAAGTGCGTAACTCTCGTCTGGGGAGAAGGAAGCCTTTCCAGAGATGCCATGTATATTGGGGCTGGATAGACAGGATCCAATCACATGAAAGGAAAGCAAGAAGAGTTCTGTATCCTACTGGGTCTGATAATCCCGTGTGTGATGTGCTTTCTCCCAAGGCGATCTACAAAATGGTGGGCACTGTGATCATGATGAAAATGAATGAGGACGGCCTTACACCCGAGCAGCGAGTAGACAAGATTTTCAGCAAGATGGATAAGAACAAAGATGACCAGATTACACTGGATGAATTCAAAGAAGCTGCAAAAAGCGATCCTTCCATTGTATTACTTCTGCAGTGTGACATTCAGAAATGAGCTGATGTCAACATTATGAACTGCACAAAAGTCTCAATGTTCCATTCAGTCTGCAGCTATTCACACACACTTACACACAATATTGCTTGGACTACCTATAAATGGACTTGCTTCTTGTGTTTGAAACACTTGTGTGCATGAGAATGTCATTTGCTAATGAATTTTAAAAGCATATGTTATCAAACAAACAAAAAAAACCTGCCACTATGTGATATGTGTAATATCATTTCATAAAATAATCCTCTTCCTCCAAAGCCTGGGCAGAAGTGTGCTGCACAAAGTTATATAATTTCTTGTTCATGTTTTGCTAATGCTGTGTCTTCTTGATTACATACTGTTAGTGGCACTGCGACTCCCACAGTAATGTAAATTATAAGCTGTCACCATTCTCCTGTAAAATAGTACTGGACAGACAAGCAGAGGGGCCTTTGGCTCCTGTGTCTGGCCCACACACAAGAGCTTGTATTATCAGTGACTATAAATATACATTTGCATGCCTTTTAGGTTTGCCTTAATTCTTACCTCATTTGCATCCTATCAATCTGGAAAGAGCTGTGTTGGATGATTGCAGTATAAAACTTAAAAACCCTGCTAAAATGACTCATTAATTAAATCTATCTATATATACATATACACAAAGATATTATTTATTGGAAGTAAAAAAAGAAAAAGAAAAAAGTAAGATGGAAGTGTATTGATTTCTGCTTGAATTTTCAAAGGTTCCCAAAGAGGTTACAATAGCTATCCCAAATAAATTTATAACATTTGATGTCCCCTCCCTTCAGTTCTTATTTTATAATTTAAAATTTGAAACATGTTCACAATTATCAAGGATTGTGCTTAAAACAAAACAAAACAAAACAAAAAAACCCTTATTATGAATTAAGTGAAAGTTGATAGAGCTCATCAGTTTTACATTGAACAAATCATATACTTTGTTTCATCTCATTGATAACAATCTCTTCCCTCACTGAGGTTCTTATTTCCATTCTGCCCTCCAGCCCATCCCTTTTCAACTTAGTCCTTAGGTACATGTTGTCCTTTTGATCTTGAATGGTTGATCAGTCCATGATGAGCATACCTTACTAGTATTCTTTTCCCTCCCTACTGCTGAAAATTGGATCAAGAATTGCTTTTAAGAACTTACGGATTCTTAAACACACAACTTTGGAATATGAAAAAAAAAAAGGAATAAAATAAATCTACTTTCCAGTGCTCCCATCTGGTTCTCAAAAGAGTGACAATTAATATGGCATGTGAAGTTTGAATAAAACATAAGGCTTATTCATGCTAAAAAAAATGTCTATTCCAAGAAAGTAACTTGTATTTCAGAGTTACCTTGATGCTAACAAGGTATATCCGACACAACTGTGTGAGGGTACAGTTAGGAGGCTGAGAAGTGTCCTCCGGAAGAAGCCAGTAGGAAAGACAACTGAGTTTCTAAATGAAAAGTCTTTCTGTTGTTTTTAAGAAGGGAACCTCCTCAGAGTGGCATCCAGCGGTTGGGTTCTGATCATTTCATTCATAAAACATCTTCACTGATGTGCCCAACAGCTTTCTTGCAGGCTGACACAGACACTAAAATAACAAAAAGATGATTACATTGTCAAAACTATGAAAGCAAGCACAAGAGAGGGAGGTGGGGAGTAAAGGGATTCGCAATGGCAATAGTACGGTTAAGTGCCATTTAAAGAAAGGCCTTAATGAAGGGAGGTAGTCAATCATGTAAATGTTTGGGACATTTACGGAAAACGAACCCTCCAGCCAATTCACCATTCTTTTTATAGATATAATGTAGAAATTGGGTCAGCAAATGAACCTATGGTGTATTAGTTTCAGTCCTCACTACTCTAGCAGCGTGCAGGGATCCTGGGGAGCAATCCAGCAGTAATTACTCAACATGAATCCTCTAGCTCAAGGTTTCTATCCCTGGGTATGTTGTCCCAAGAAACTGTCATAGAAGGTCATCAAGGAGTCCCCCAGATGTCCATAGCAGCTTTTGGTACTTGCAGATACTAGAAACAATGTCATAGTTTATTATCAGAGAGATGGGAAAATAAAATATATGGATGCAATTTCAGGCATATGATACATAAATTGGAAGTAACAGATTTATGTACACACAACATTGGCATTTAAAAATAGCTGAATGGGGAAAAAAGAAACAATGAAATCTATTACACAGTATAATATACATATAAAGGAAAATACATTCTCTCAAAACAAACATGTTTTATAAGGATACAGAAAATAAAAGGAAGCATCTTATATCAGTTTCTTCGGGGATGGTTGAATAGGAGTGGTTCAATTACTGCTGCTCGATAACATTTCACCCTCAAAACTTTTTGGTGGAGTCTATGAGACCTGTATTTGAGAAGGGCTCCTCAGTATGATTCTTGCTTGGGGTCTTTCGTGTAGTTGCAGCTGGAGCTAAAAAAAGGACTTAGAGCAGCTGGGAATTGACTGAGCTTATCTGTTTCTTCTTGTAGTCTCTAAGACTTCTCCACCCAGGATATTTTGCACTTCCTCACAGCATGGCAGCCTCAGAGCAGTCATACTATTAACACAGTGGTTCAAGGTTCTACAACAAGAATTACTGCAAAGAAGTTGGAAGCTTCATTACCTTTTCTGATCTAACCTCAGAAATCATGAAATATCACTTCCATGGTGACTCCAAAAGGTCACAAGCAAACCTATTCTTATTCATCTCTTGATGTCAAGGTTCTAGAAAGAATATGTGGCATGGGAACACTGTTGCTACCATCTTTGGAGAATAATCTGTCACAGTCTGCTCTGTGGTCACAATTCCCATCTCTTAAACATGCAAATATACTCACCACTTTCCCCCAATTCCAAAAGACATACCATATGGCTTTAATGTAAGACTTAGGGTTCAAGATTTCCTCTAACGAATCCTCAGCTGTGGTTCCTCAAGTACAGCACATTTAGCACTTATTTTCTTAATTCAAAAGCTTGTGAAACAAGGTAATAATTTGTCTCCCTGTTGCCCTAGTTCATTGCAATTCTCAAATCCAGTTAGGTACATCTTGTCAGAAATCAAAGGACATATTTCACTAGGCAAACATGATGCAAAACATCTCTTTAAAGTGTTAAAAGCCATGAAGTCACTTTGAGAACTAAAACCCAACTCAAACCAAGGTATTTTCAGTCACTGCATATGGATGTGAAAACTGGACAATGAATAAAGAAGACCAAAAAAGAACTGACACATTTGAATTATGGTGATAAGTGAAGAATATTAAATATATTCTACATACAAAACTACAGCCAGAATGTTTCTCAGAAGTGAGGATGGTGAGACCTCGTTGCATTTACTTAAGACATGTCACCAGGCCCTGCACTGCTGTTTCAGGGAATCCATTTTTCTCCGCCCTTCTTCTCTATCGCCTAAGTGCACACCATCGCCCCCTGGAGGATTCGATGGGTATGAACAGGAGCCCTCTGAGGCCCCAAAACAATCTCTTCGACTGTGAACTAAAAGCTGATAAAGATTGTCACTGTTAGGTGGATAATGATGAAAACGAGCACCAGTTATCATTAAAAACGGTCAGTTTAGGGGCTGGTGCCAAGGATGAATTGCACATTGTTGAAGCAGAGGCAACGAATCATGAAGGTAGCCCAATTAAAGTCACACTGGCTACTTTGAAAATGTCTGTACAGCCAACAGTCTCCCTTGGGGGCTTTGAAATAATGCCACCAGTGGTGTTACGGTTGAAGTGTGGCTCAGCACTTAGGAGCTGTGGAGGAACATGCAGAGTCAGATGATAAAGAGGAAGAAGAAGTGTGCAACAAGATTGTATTCTTTCACCATACCTATCCAACCTGTATGCTGAGCAAATCATCTGAGAAGCTGGGTTACATGAAGAAAAACATGGCATCAGGTTGGAGGAAGACTCATTAACAACCTGCAATATGCAGATGATACAACCTTGTTTGCTGAAAGTGAAGAGGACTTCAAATATTTACTGATGAAGACCATGGAACACAACCATCGGTATGGCTTGCATCTAATCTAAAGAAAACAAAATCCTCACCACTAGACCAATAAACAACATTCTTAGCAACAGAGAAAAGATTTAAGTTGTCAAGGACTTCACTCTTCTTGGAGCAACTATCGACACTCATAGAAGCAGCAGCAAGAAATCAAATGACGTATTGCATTAGGCAAATCTGCTGCACAAGACCTTTTTAAAGTGTTGAAGAGTAAAGATGTCAGCTTGAGGACTAAGGTGAGCCTGACCCAAGTCATGGTATTTTCAATAACCTCGTATGCATGCGAAAGCTGGACAGTGAATAAAAAAGACTGTAGAATTGATGCTTTTGAGTTATGGTGTTGGAGGAGAATATTGAAAGTGTCATGGCTGCCAAAAGAACCAATAGATGCATTTTGGAAGAAGTGAAGCCAGAGTGCTCCTTGGAGGCCAGGATGGCCAAACTTCATCTCTCATACTTCGGACATATTATCAGGAGGGACCAGTTGCTGGAGAAGGATATCATGTTTGCTAAAGTAGAGGGGTCAGTGAAAAAGAGGAAGACCCCCCAGCGAGATGGATTGGCCCAGTGGCAGCATCAATGGTCTCAAGTGTGGCAACAATTGTGAGGTTGGCCCAGGATCGGGCAGACAGTATTTTGTTCTGTTGTGCTATGAATCGGTACTGACTTGATGGCACCTAACGAGTCAGAATTGAACAATTCCAGACACCAAAATCCAATCCCGTTACAATTGCAAGTAACAACTCAACCCCAAATTTAGTGACTTAAAACAATGATCTCTCATGAGTTTTATGGACCAGGAATGCACTAACATCTTAGTTGGGCAATTTTGGCTTGGAATCTTTCATGGAGTTATATGAGACTGAGTCAAAAAGTATATGCACTCTGGTTATATTAAAACACCTGTCCATGTCCACAGCTGATAACAATGAGCATGCACGTGAAATGATTCTGTCGAATAGATGAGTGGCAGTGGGTTACATGGC